ATGGTTTCTAATGCAGGTGTGTGGATACAAACATTTGCTTACCATGGCAACAGGATAATTATTTTCATGTTTATGACAATATGAAGCCTCAGCAGAAGCTAGATGGATACGCAGCTGGAGGTCACTCTTATAATTGGCTCTAGATCTATACAAGTGTATTGTATTGTAGAGTTCAGAGGCAGAATAACCATGTTCATTTAAACCAGAGTTCACCACAACACTTTATTAGTTGTTGATTTCAACTATGATAAAAAAACTCTAAAACTTTCTTTTAACATGGCTATCAAAAATACCAGATTTGAACTATGTTAGGGTGTGTTCAGCTCTTAGATGACTTAACCTAACAAGTTCACAACTGCCCTTGTAGATGTCAGCAGAAAAACAAAATAACATGTTCAAAACTGAAAAGAAATAATATAAAATCCAGAAGGCAAAAGTTCCTGTACAAACCCTCTGAGGCCATGTGGATATATCCTCGGAAATAATTGCCATTGCAGTGCACAATTCCAGAGCAAAGCTGTGAATGACAGACTCTTAAGTCAAATACACTCCATAGTTGGGGAAAATATTTGCGTCTAATTCCTAAACCCTCTGCTGTATGCTCCTCTCTCTAAAATTAGCAATGTGTTCACTAGTGAGAACAAAACGGCTTCTAACTCCACTCTACCTTACTGGTCTCTTCAATACCCAGCTTTCATGGCTCCCAAACGAGGATATTTGATGAGGCAGATTCTCTGACGACATCAAAGCTCTTCAGATGTTGACAAGACAAATTTTGGATATTTCTTTCCTACCCAAGCTGGTCCCCTCCAACGTCTTTGTCTTAGCGAGACAGGTATCATTCGCGAGAGTGGGATGTGCGTACACTCACGATATTGTGCAATGTGGCAATGCCTGATTCAGGTTAGGCTACCAGCAGGAAGGTGGCCAGGAACACATGATAGTGTACCTATCTTTCACATTTGCTCCTAGGGTATATATATCATCATTGTATGTTGAGTACAGGCTACTGTCCCTAACACACATAAAAACAAAAGTATTGTACTTTTCATAATTCTGTATTAATATCTGTGAACAGTAAATTCTTGTCAGAACTGCATGACAATATGCCTTGTCAACAATGTCTGTCACATAGATATTGGTGGTGAAGTGGGTGAAAGTGGATGTATCAGGTGTGATTCACCACGAGGATACTCCATTCCTGGTGCACCCACTGGGAAGACTTGAGTATTGCTAGAAGTGGCTGAAACCGTCCTGACTGTAACCTGTATGTCAAACTTGTGAGTCTTCAGTTGAAAGATGGTTGCATAGAGAGATCTACTTTTTCTTAACTTATTACTCTAGTCATGAAATATATAAGTGAATATATATTTGAACATACCTGAGTTAAAAGTCCATGTGGATTTTAAATTATGTATAGTAAAACTTCCATATTTTTAAATGAATTTAAAACACATTTGGTACAAAATTAAATGTTATGAATGATCTTGATCTCTCACAAGTCACTGAATATTGTTAATTATTGTACTGAGAAGACAATAAAATAAAGCGCAGACATTTCATGTTTTATACCCACTTTTATATTCCATGAATATATTTCGAACCAAATGCATTATTATCCGTAAAATGAGATTGATTATTATCAACAAAATGACATCAATTATTTCAATTCAGTATCCTAACTATAGCTCAATCTGGTTTATTTCATTTCACTACATTTTCAAAGAAAACTATTTTAACGGTATCACTATTAATTCATAAAAAGTATATGCGAAAGTAATATACTGGTAGCAACAATGTCCTGTCATCTCTCCCTACCCCTGCAACATATATATATAAGCTGACAACCCATCAACTAGGCAGATTATGTTATGTTGAATACACATGGGATTGAGCTAAGCTAGAGGAGGAAATTATTGTTACATAATAGGCAACATGACATACCTGTATTGTGTTTACTTAATGGGCACAGACAGGACAGTCAACAGCCAGCACCTGAATAGCACATCACTTTCTTACCTGAAGCAAGCTGTAGGAGTGTAGACAGAGGGAGGCGACAGAGGTGTTGTAACATGTCTCTGTGACCAATATACACCTACGCATGGCTTTATTACAGCAAATATTCCACTGTCTACTTTCTTAATTGTGTTGGCTAATTTATACAGATAGATATCAATCAACCAGTAATTTATACTGCTCAAGGTGTACATTCAAGCATGTTTATCACTGTTTATCCCTTCAATGATATCATTATAAAAAGTATTCATATATTTTATCCCCACTAGCCAGGATGATAACCCATATGTTCATTTATATCAGACCGCCTCCGTGGTCTAGTGGTACAGCGTCCGCCCGGAGAGAGGAAGTTCCGGGGTTCGATCCCCGCCGCGTCATGCCAAAAGACATTAAAAGATGGTACATGTTGTTACCCTGTCTGGCGCTCGGCATTAAGGGGCTAAAACAAGGACTAGTTGGCTCGGAGTCAGTATACTGTGTCTGAGTGGGGTATTCATGTTATACTGCGGCATTGTATCTCAGTGAGCTAGTACTATAAATCGGCATCAGTCAGGACCAGTAAAAGCAGCCACACAAACACACACACGTACATGCACCTCGCTATATATGTGCAATAATCTTGGACGCAACTGCGACTGTTTGGATTGTAACAAGATATGCTGATGGCAAGAATTGCAAGGTTCTGTGGCTTACCTGGGAATGTGTTTACTTGTAAGATCTTAACCATGTGTCGCATGAGGTTAATAATATCGTCCACAAAAGTTCATTTCTAATTTTGTCCCCTGATAATGAAACTAGTATTTTTATCATGGGACAACAAAAAAAGTCAACAAATTCTGGGTTAAGTATATGATTACTGTTGGGGGGTGGATCTACTATCTCAGGGCTATGGATAAAGTTATAGTTGGGGGTTGGATCTACTATCTCAGGGCTATGGATAAAGTTATAGTTGGGGGTTGGATCTACTATCTCAGGGCTATGGATAAAGTTATAGTTGGGGGTTGGATCTACTATCTCAGGGCTATGGATATCGTTATAGTTGGGGGTTGGATCTACTATCTCAGGGCTATGGATATAGTTATAGTTGGGGGTTGGATCTACTATCTCAGGGCTATGGATAAAGTTATAGTTGGGGGTAGAATCCACTATCTCAGGGCTATGGATAAAGTTATAGTTGGGGGTTGGATCTACTATCTCAGGGCTATGGATAAAGTTATAGTTGGGGGTTGGATCTACTATCTCAGGGCTATGGATAAAGTTATAGTTGGGGGTAGGATCCACTATCTCAGGGCTATGGATAAAGTTATAGTTGGGGGTTGGATCTACTATCTCAGGGCTATGGATATAGTTATAGTTGGGGGTTGGATCTACTATCTCAGGGCTATGGATATAGTTATAGTTGGGGGTTGGATCTACTATCTCAGGGCTATGGATATAGTTATAGTTGGGGGTTGGATCTACTATCTCAGGGCTATGGATAAAGTTATAGTTGGGGGTTGGATCTACTATCTCAGGGCTATGGATATAGTTATAGTTGGGGGTTGGATCTACTATCTCAGGGCTATGGATATAGTTATAGTTGGGGGTTCGATCTACTATCTCAGGGCTATGGATAAAGTTATAGTTGGGGATTGGATCTACTATCTCAGGGCTATGGATATAGTTATAGTTGGGGGTTGGATCTACTATCTCAGGGCTATGGATAAAGTTATAGTTGGGAATTGCATTTACTATCTCAGGGCTATGGATATAGTTATAGTTGGGGGTTGGATCTACTATCTCAGGGCTATGGATAAAGTTATAGTTGGGGATTGGATCTACTATCTCAGGGCTATGGATATAGTTGTAGTTGGGGGATGGATCTACTATCTCAGGGCTATGGATATAGTTGTAGTTGGGGGATGGATCTACTATCTCAGGGCTATGGATATAGTTGTAGTTGGGGGATGGATCTACTATCAGCCTGAATCATGTTTTAGCGCAAACACGTTGCAACAACGTAATTTTTGTGGTGGAAAATTTCTTCTTTTTTTTTACAGTCTGAAGCATAATTTAGTTTTTCAAGAATTTTCTGCGGCAAATCCCAGCCCCCACCTCTACCCCTTCTCAATTGGTCAGTCCCTTAGAGACCTAACATCTCAGGGTTATGGATACGGTTAGGGTTAGGGGTTGGATCGCATATGTCAGGATGATGGTTAAGGTTATAGTTAGATTGGCATTAGTGGTTAGATCTAACATATCAGGGTTATGGATAAGGTTATAGTTAAATAAGGGTCAAGGGTTACATCTAATATGTCAGGGTCATGAGTTTATTAAAGAGTCCTATTGGGAGTCATTCTCTAAAGGAAGAAAAACAAAAAAACTAGAAATTGGATCTTGCACATTTAAAGTCTCTTAAAGCTATTTCCGAGAGGGATGGGTGGGGCAGACAGAGTGTGTTGCTTTTGTCACCTCTACCATGCCGGTGTGTGAAAGTACCAGGAGAGATGCGCAAACAACGTCACTTCTCATCTCCACACACACAACTATCAGTACTAGGTGAGACAGACATTTTGAATGTCACAACCACTGCCACAAGGACATGGAATGTAACAGACCTATTCTCCTCCAGTACATCCAGTGAGAACTACAGTGTAGGAACTACTTACATCTGCAGTCCATGAGAGGATCATACAACAGCAAGGTCTTACTTTGCAAGATTATTTCATGCCTGCACCTCAGAGACTATTTAGCATGTACAATTGTCCGATATCTACTGTTTAACTTCTTTAAGATAAATGCAGGATTGGGTGCTTTCATTCTAAAATACATAACAAAGATGTGAAATTAACACTGAGGGAAGCCATGATCAAGCTGACTCATCTATATTGTTTCTTTATGATACTGTCTGTATTAACTATACTAAAAACAAATGTTCAATCGTGCACAAACGTCTATTTCACTGTTGTGGCAATGTGGCAGCACAAGAGCAGGAACCAACTCACCTGCACACATGTACAGCACCTTGTTCCACAGTATATAAGCTTGTCTAGACTCCTACATAGCGTGTCACCTCCCTCGTCACCAGCAACCTGCACCAGGTATTCTGCTCTCCTAGCACTAGCATCAATTTGTGAGACAACCTCCCATCATCTGAATGTCAGTAATTGGCTAACCTGGGCTGTTTATAATGAGATGGTGCCTTGTCACATCAATCACAAAGCACTGATTCAACTACTCATGCAGCAACAAGTATGGACGAGTACTAGTATGGCAACAGGCCCAGAATACTAGCTGTCTTTCTGTTGATGCAAATGGGGGAAATAGGCATTTATAAGAAATTCTATAATTTCTGTAGAAATGTTTGATATCAATACACATAAAGGTAAGATTTTATTCATTTATCAAAACCATTTTCAATCAGCTATTACCAAGACCAGTTACCACAATTTCTGTTGTTTGATGACAAATATATCCTTGCAAATAACCACACTGACACACTGTTTTAACACAATATTTCTGACATTGTGCATCTCATGCAAATATCATTCTACTTTAAACTGACATTAACACTTCTTATGTTAATAATTTCATAACTTTCTCATACCTTTGAAAAGAAAATGCATTTTGGAAAGCGGTCAAATGTAACATGTTATTTTTGGTATTACACTTTCTTGGTACAATTAGTACAATTTCTAGTACTTTTTGGGGTGAAGGTCCATCCAGGATTCGAAACCCACACTCTCAGAGTAATGCAGCTGATCGTCAGCACACAAAGTCAGCAACCTAACCCACTCAGCCACCGAGGCTTCCACAAAAAAGTCTGACAACTGGTGGAAAGAGCACATACTTTGTGTATCCCTCTGGTACTCTTCCAAAAAAGTGTTAGAATTTGTATTTTACTATGAAAGTGTCATCCCAAATATAACATACATGTATACTCAACAACAAAAGTTCCTGTGACACCAATATTTTAGTGTATGTTTAAACAAGTAAAGTTTGGTTTTCAATATTGTAGTACATGTATGGAATCAAGTCACAAGAACGCAACTGCTGCAGAAAAGCATCATTCCATGCAAAAGTTGACTTTTATGCAAGCCCCATGGGATTCCATATGCATTGTTTAGCATCGTGCTGACAACAACCATTCAGAAAAACAACAAAATTACGCAATTATTCAACATTACGAAATGCCAAGCCTGTCCGAATGGTATGCTTGAAGCAGGATCAAGTCAATGTGATGTTGCAAGACAATTTAACGTCTACAGAAACACCATTTGGTGTTTATGGCAACATTGGCAACAGACGAATGCAGTCAGAGACCATCCTCGGAGTGGCAGGCCTCGTGTAACCAATAATCGACAAGACAACTGGATTCGAACAACACACCTACAAAATCAATTCCAGCCAGCAACAGTGACTGCAAGAAGCATTCCGGGCCTTCGACGAATATCTTCACAAACCGCACATCGTCGCCTCAGATGTGCAGGGATTGTCGCCAGAAGACCCGCCAAACGTCTTATTTTGACAGGAAACCACCGTCAAGCACGTCTACAGTGGTGCAGACAGCGTCTACGCTGGAGGGCCATGCAGTGGGGACAAGTTCCATTCACTGACGAGTCTCGTTTTCACCTCAGCCACAGCGATGGACGGATTCGAGTATGTCATGGAAGAAGATCGGTTTCGGGGGCGGCAGCGTTATGGTATGGGGTGGGATTACAGCAAGACAGGGGACCTGTTTGATAGCGCTAGAGGGAAATCTCAATGGACAGCGCTAGCCCGACGAGATCATCTGCCCTGTTGTTCTACCGTTTTTGCGTCGTCATGGCCCAGGCATTACCTCATATTGCTCGACTTGTTCAGGATTCTCTTCAACAAAACAACGTGAATGTCATCCCCTGGCCGGCTCGCTCTCCTGATCTCTCACCAATTGAGATGGGATGAGATGGATTGGCGCCTTCGACATCAACCACGTGTTCCACAGACACTCCAGGAACTTCGAAACTTGCTCCAGCAGATATGGACAGATATCCCACAGATCTTTGAGCGACGCCTGGTCCAGAGGTGGACACACACGCTATTGATTTGTAAATTGACATTTTGGCATGTTCATGTTTTTTATGAAATCGCACATTTTCTGAAGTCAGTATGGTAAATTAAACCATTTGAACACTTACAAGAGTCTTTTATCTGTTGCAAACCGAAATTGTTTCAGATTTGGTGAAAAACATAACTTTGCATTAAATCTTATTCAATGTCAAACTTTTGTTGTTCAGTATATGTTACTTTCTCATACTGGACATATCTAATCATAAAACATGCAATGCTCATAACAACCTGCTACAATACATGCCCTGTACTGCTAACATGCCCTGTACTGCTAACATGCCCTGTACTGCTGACATGCTTTGTACTGCCAACATGCCCTGTACTGCCAACATGCCCTGTACTGCTAACATGCCCTGTACTGCTAACATGCCCTGTACTGCTAACATAATCTGTAGTGCTTACATGCCCTGTACTGCCAACATGCCCTGTACTGCTAACATGCCCTGTACTGCTAACATGCCCTGTACTGCTAACATGCCCTGTACTGCTAACATGCCCTGTACTGCTAACATAACCTGTAGTGCTAACATGCCCTGTACTGCCAACATGCCCTGATCTGCCAATATGCCCTGTACTGCTAACATGCCCTGTAGTGCTAACATGCCCTGTTGGTTGGTTGGTTGGTTTGTTGTTTAACGCCGCACTCAGCAATATTCCAGCTATATGACGGCGGTCTGTAAATAATCGAGTCTGGACCAGACAATCCAGTGATTGATATCATGAGCATCGATCCATGCAATTGGGATCGATGGCATGCATCAACCAAGTCAGCGAGCCTGACCACCCGATCCCGTTAGTCGCCTTTTACGACAAGCATAGTCACCTTTTACGTCAAGCATGGGTTGCTGAAGACCTATTCTACCCCGGATCTTCACGGGTCCTAACATGCCCTGTAGTGCTAACATGCCCTGCACTGCTAACATGCCCTGTACTGCCAACATGCCCTGTTCTGCCACTATGCCCTGTAGAGCTAACATGCCCTGTTCTGCCAACATGCCCTGTACTGCCAACATGCCCTGTAGTGCTAACATGCCCTGTACTGCCAACATGCCCTGTAGTGCTAACGTGCCCTGTAGTGCTAACATGCCCTGTACTGCCAACATGCCCTGTACTGCTAACATGCCCAGTAGTGCTAACATGCCCTGTACTGCCAACATGCCCTGTACTGCCAACATGCCCTGTACTGCTAACATGCCCTGTAGTGCTAACATGCCCTGTTCTGCCAACATGCCCTGTACTGCTAACATGCCCAGTAGTGCTAACATGCCCTGTACTGCCAACATGCCCTGTACTGCTAACATGCCCAGTAGTGCTAACATGCCCTGTACTGCCAACATGCCCTGTACTGCCAACATGCCCTGTACTGCTAACATGCCCTGTAGTGCTAACATGCCCTGTTCTGCCAACATGCCCTGTACTGCTAACACGCCCTGTACTGCCAACATGCCCTGTACTGCCAACATGCCCTGTACTGCTAACACGCCCTGTACTGCTAACATGCCCTGTACTGCCACTTTGCCCTGTAGTGCTAACATGCCCTGTACTGCCAACATGCCCTGTACAGCTAACATGCCCTGTAGTGCTAACATGCCCTGTACTGCCAACATGCCCTGTACTGCTAACATGCCCTGTAGTGCTAACATGCCCTGTTCTGCCAACATGCCCTGTAGAGCTAACATGCCCTGTACTGCCAACATGCCCTGTAGTGCTAACATGCCCTGTACTGCCAACATGCCCTGTACTGCCAACATGCCCTGTACCACTAACATGCCCTGCATTTGCGAACAAACAGCTGCCACACCCTTCCTGCTCAATACTTCATTGCTAAAATATGAAACAGGTAGGACATCAATCCAGATACATGTACCATTCACATTCAGATATCTAACTATTGTTTTCTTACCCAAGACTTGTAAAGAATATTGCTGGTGTTCTTGTCCATACCTTATGTAGCGATACCTTGTGTATAGTACCAGTAATTGCAAAACATGGAGGATAAACGGCCTTGTCGTTATATCCAGACGAACGGCGGAGCCTGCATGGCCAGTGACGAGTACTGTCACTATAGATTTTGTCGATGTGACAACAAATATGAGCATACACCTGTTTCTTGTCTCACTTCACAGTGGAAAGAAAACTAAGAAGTCACATTGACTAAGGCTTTGAACAGATTCAACATATCATGGATGACAAACATGAGAAAATTACTACGTTTGGAAACTTCTGTGATTACTTGACATAAAGTGGGATATTGTTTTATTGCAGTAAATACTTTCTGATACAGTTGGTGAAGCATAACAATACAAATAAGAAATTGTTCAGTGACCGCTAGTGATGATATACATATACTTAATTAGTAATACAAGTACTACTTGAACACAAAGGACAGAAAGCCTTGTGACTTATAGTTTCGTGGTGGACATGCACATTCAACCCTTGTCTGCAAGTTTCATAATGTATATGTTTTGGGGTAAACAAAATTACTTTCATAGCATAGGAGTTTTGGGGAAGCTGAACTGACTTTCTTATTGTTAAGTATCCTGAAATAAAGTACATCATAAAGTCTATTGACTTTTTGTATAAAATTTGAATATTTCACATCTCGAACAAACTCCCCTGCTAGTGAAATGCTACAATGCTTAGGAACAACATGATTTCTTCAAAGTCACTGTTAACAAAATTTGGTCACATACTAGCTTGACCAACTCCCCGCCCCAAAAAACCACTGCCCGCCTGCACTTTATTTTCAAAAGCCATTGCCTGAGAACCAATTCTTTTATGTTTGAACCCTAGCATAGACGTTTTTGGGCAGCCCCAAATGTTTTTTGTTTTGTTTGTTTGTTGTTTAACACCGCACTTGGCAATATTCCAGCTATATGACAGCGGTCTGTAAATAATTGAGTCTGGAACAGACATATCAGTGATTGACATCATGAGCATCGATACACGCAATTCGGATACAATGA